AAAAAAAAAAAAAAAAAAAAAACAAAAAAACAAAAAAACAAAAAAAACAAACAATAAAACCAAAAAATCCAACCCAACAACAACAACCACAACAACCCCCTTACCAGCTCTCCCTAGCCAGAAGAGTAAACCAAACCACCTGAGGCAGCAGCCTTCTTTCAGTTAGCGGCACGGTTGGTGCTGGCAGCTAACTTGGAGCTATGCACCCCTTTCTCCTGGTTTCCTTGGCGACAGCCCTGTAGGGTCAGGCACGCGAGCTGCCATTACTGGCCACAACGTCCAACCAGGCCGGATGCTCCTCAGCTGGGCTCCAGGACCACCGAGGGAGCCATGTTCCTTCTTCTAGTGCTGCTTACGGGTGTTAGTGGGCTGCAGGCCGGCCAGAGTGAGTCCAGAGGTCCAAACCGCTCCTGGCTTCCGAGCCGCAGAGCAGGCTTCACCCGCACTCTACTCGCTTCGCTTTCCCCTTCCTCCCTCCTGGCTGCCAAACATTCCCTGGCGTGGGACGGTTTTCTTAACTGTAACAGATAACAATGAATCCTAATCACTTTCCCTGTTGCTATGTAAATGATAGTCTTGACTCAACTCATCAGAGCTCAGAAACTATTTATGAAAAAAAAAAAAAAAAATCCTGGTTTGGCAACTGCCGCCCTCTACAGGCTTGCTTGACTTTTTTTTTTTTTTTAATTTTTTCATACGTTTTCCCCCACCTCCATTTTTTTTTTTTGACTGATAACTTTGTTTCTTTTTCCCCTCCATTTATTTATTTATTAATTCACTTTACATCCTGATGGCAACCTCCCTCTCCTCCCAATCCCCACTGACACACCCTTCCCCCATTCTCCTGTCTCCTTCGCAGAGAAGGGGGGAGATCCCACGTGGGTAGCAACCTGCTCCGGCGCATTAAGTAGCTGCAGCCGCAGGGCTAGGCGCATCCCCTCCCACTGAGACCAGATGAGGCAGCTCAGTTAGGGGAAAGGGGTACAAAAGCAGGCATCACAGAGGCACCTCCTCCAGTTGCTGGCGGGGATCCACATGAAGACCTAGCTGAGCATCTGCTACATCTGCAGGAGGCCTAGGAGGGGTAGAGGGAGAGAGGAAACTGGGTAGGAGAGGGAATAGAGAGGGGAGCAGGGATGGGGACTAGGAGTAGGGAGACCATATTCTTTCCTGTTCCCTAGGTCCTCTCTAGCTCCCTACCCAACCCATCTCTTGTCTCACTCAGAAACCTCCAAACAAAATCGAAACCAAAAAACCTAATAAGATAAAAAGTACCACATTAAAACCAAAAAGCACACAAAACCAACCAACCCAACAAACAAACATGGAGTCCATTTTACGCTGGTCAGATTCTCCTTGGGCATGGGGCTGTCCTGGAGAGTGACATACCCCAGGGCCATTCCTTCGGAGAAAATAGATTTTTCTTTCCTGAATAACCACACTTTCCTTCAGCATGGCAATCTCGGAATGAATCTATGTTTCTAAGACAACACTGTAGTTCGATAATTAAGTAGTTTAGCTGCTGAGCTGAGAGGTGGGAGGACAGCAGAGAGAGGAGGGGAAGGTGAGAGGGAGAAGAGAATGAATTAGCAACAATTTAATAGAGAGTGGAAAAGGTAAAAGAAAAGGTGTACCAATCACTCAAAGCAAATACTAAGGTAGAGGAAGAGATGCACAATCAGACTTAAAAAATGGATATCAAAGCAGCATCACGTATTTTTATTTTTAGACCCTCAGAAAATCATCTTGCATACAACGGTTCCTGAAAAGATCTCATCAATGGATGTGGAAACAGATCCTGAAAACCATGTAATAGCAACACCATCTCTAGTAGCTAGCGCACGTGAGGTTGCGCTTAGCTAGAGGTAGTGGGTGGAGCCCAGAAAAGCGCCACTGCAGCAGAGCATTATGGGATAGAAACTTCAGGGATGGACCCTCACAGGTGCCAAAAAGGTGGCAAGTAACAGGCAATTCCTCTCCAGGATAGGAGTAGGGTGAGACCGTGATAAGGGGAAGCTGAGGTGAAAAGCAGGTTGTCTGTTGGGCACGGGGGTGGGGAGGAGTACCGGACTAACTCAGAAGATACCAGTTAACGAACACCAATTAAGTTTCTGCCTGGCACCGGTGCTAAGCCTAGTTCTTAGTTCAGAATCTTGAAGACAAAATCCGCATGGGAAGAAAAGCCAAAAACCCTATTAATTTTTGCCATTCCCTTAAAACATAAAGCGGAGCAAACACATAAAGTATGTGACTGACATTCAAAAAAACATTCTTGTTACAGATTGCTTATCTTATTCCAATAGCTAAAAAACCGTATTTCGTCCACCTTACAAAACAGTAAGTAATTATTTTGCCATTCCACATTTCAAGTTTTTTTTTTAACTTTTATGAGAGTTAATGTTTAAAATACTACAGTTAAAATGTATTAATGTCTATTGAATGTTGGCGTTTAGACAAGGTCTTATACATAAGAAGAGAATAAAACAAGGTCTACAGAGCATTTATAGCACAGGAAGAGATATTCTGATACTCTACCTCTAAGGAGTGGATGGTGATAAATGCCTAAGAAATGCTCTTAGCAAGTCAGCGAAGGCTTTTGGGTTTTTTGGACTAGAAATAAGCTGTAACTTGATAAAGGATGGAGAGAGAAGATTTTGGTAAAGTAAGTGGGGAATAAATTCTAGAAGATGTGTAAGGACAATGTGTAAGGTCAGGGTGCACACACTGCGCTCCCATGGGTCAGGTGACATGGTGCGTACAGCGTGGGTCAGGTCATCAGTGAAGTTGATGGGGATGAGCCGTCACTTCCCGCACTAGGAAGACAGATTCCGTAGACCTCAAGACAGAGTCAGCAGAACTGGGAAACAGTGAGGGACCTCAGATGACTTGGCTGTTTCTCATGAAAATGGATAGGTTATTGTGGATTGTGTACTATGAACCAGGGAGCTATTTGTCAGAGGACTGAGCATTTATGTCCAAGTTGGTATTTTCTACTGGAGAGGTATACAAGAGAATTTGAATCTCCGAGAAATCTGAACAGTTACACAGACTTAATAGCAAACGGTAGTGGTGTTATTAATGGAAAACATATACAGAAAGTGTTTCTAAACCTTGGGAGAGATCAATGCTTTGGGGGCGAGGTGGGAAAGTGCCTAGCTAAGATGGAAGAGGAGGCTGGAGGAGCAGGGAGGCAGGACAAGAGGCAGAAGAGGAAGTGTACTAGCTAGAGACTGGACTGAGCGGTCGTTGTTTCCTGGTACGTGGGCCATCAGTACAGTTAGGATCATAAGGTGCCTTGTGGAGTTGAAAGACTGATGGTTTTAGACATTTCCACAGAACCTTCAGGGTGGTTAAGAAGGTTAAGGAGGTGGTTAAGGAGGATGTGTGTGTGTGTCTGTGTAGATGACACCTCTGATAAACAAAACAAAACATCAAACCCGTTGACAATTAAAATAGGATAGATCAGTGCTGGAGTATGACATCAACTGAAAATCATTTCTTGAAAACAACTTTTCTGACGGCATAGACTCATGTAGAGGCAGGGTTCTGTAGCTCAGTACATGTGCAAGATGCTGTCTGTGGCACAGGCTGTCTTTGAAATAAAGTCACCCTCCTCGAGGAGAGGCGTGAGGCAGACTCAGAGGCTGTGTGAGTGAGCGACATGGAGGATGTGGATCATGGTTAGTAGGACTGGTGTCAGGTTCTTTAATGTGTACCAGGGTGGGAGATTATGAAAGAAATTTCTGACCATTGTTGTTAAGAACTTGGAGAAGGGCTTGAAGGTACCTGCCTCCTGTGGAACCAACATTTCGGAGACTGAGACGGGAGGATTCCAACAAGTTAGGGTTCAGTTGTGTCCACATAGTTGTATCAAGAAGGAAGAGGAAGAGGAGGAGGAGGAGGAAGGGAAGGGGAAGAGGAGGGAGAAGAGGAGAAGTGGTGGGAAGAGTAATGTTGCAGCACAACAGTGGCTTGGACATACTTAGCTGATTGAACATAAATTTGTAGCAAGACCAAGAGAATTATTTAAAATGGGTGTTAATCCTATATCCTAATTTTGAGATTCAAATGCAACATCTGAAGTCAATGAATGACAAAGACGGAGATTTGAAAGGCCCTGGACATCAGAGCCTATATTATCTCTGAGTTATCTAATGTTTTGAGTTGCTCATTAACCTGCATTTTAGTTTTTTTTTTCTTCTTCTATTCAAAAGGCTAATTTCAGCGACAAGAAAATATTTAGGGAATAAGCTATAGCAAGCTGATAAGTATTCAGTTAATTTGTATATGAAGACTTACCTTTTACATTTGTTTCACTGGAAGATGTTTGGAATTTTTTTTTTTTTATAGATTACTTATAAATCCAGCTGCAGTGGTTTATACCTATGACAAAGATGGTGTTAAACATTCTCAACCTTTGTCATCTCTGGTAAGCTTAAGTTTTGTTCCCTACAGATTTGGTATTTGAACTTTCTTTTAAAAATAAATAATCTCTAATTACTTTAGTATTATTTGATACATTCTTTGGAATTGTATAGTCTTCTCTGATGCTATTTTCTGCTTGATACAATTTTTTTTTGGGAGGGGGAGTAATTGACTATCATACCAAAGTATTAAGGTATGTAAGTATGAATGACATGTCTTAGGTGTGTATTTAAGAATGACTTAACCATCTGTTTTCATTTGTGCGTTTTTTTTTTTCCAGAAAAATTGCTATTACAATGGATATGTTGCAGGTTTTCCAAATTCGCTTGTGTCACTCAGCATTTGCTCAGGACTCAGGTTGTATATTATTTAAAAGTATTATTGTAGCTAGGTTTCTAGTGCTGTGAGAAAGACCATGACAAAAAGCACCTTGGGATGAAAGAGTATGCCTCGTCTAATTCTTCTAGGCTAACAGTCCATCACTAAAAGAAAATCAGGGTAGGCACTTGGAAACAGCAGCTGAAGCAGAGGTCATGCAGGAATATGGCTTGATGAGTTTGTTTTCTTATGCAACTCAGGACCACCTGTCCAGGGATGCCACCACCGCCCACAGTGGCCTGGGCCCTTCGCATCAATCATTAATCAAGAAACTGCCTATAGGCTTGCTGATGGAAGTGCTTTCTCAACTGAAGTTTCTCTTCCCAGATAACTCTAGCTTGTGTTGAACGGACAGCCAAGCAACTGGCCCAGAGACTAAATTTGCCAGCATTGTGTCTTGTTACTCTATGAACTAATCCCGCATGTGCCTTTTCTCATTCTCTGTTCACCTTTATTTTTCAACTCTTTTGGAAATGAACCAAAATTGCTAAGAAAATAGTCTGTCCCTGGGTCGGGGCCATGTATGGAGTCTCATGGGATCTAGCGGTTGAGGCTGTGGTCTGTTCTGAGTGTGGGGAGCACTAATCAATACCTCCAAACTTCTCTAGTTCCCACCAATGCTGTTTTTGATTTCCTAGAATAAATGAGAATTCTCGAGGATAATAGAGACTTTTGATTATTGGCCACGCTTAGGCATGAATTTCCTCCAGTTCATCTACCGTAATAATTTAAGGCATCAGAGAAAAGTCAGGTGTATCCTAGATAGGGGACCTGTCTTAGTCAGGATCTCCATTTCTGTGATATCACACCATGACCAGGACAACCTGGGGAGGAGAGGGTTTGTTTCATCTTGTAGTTTCTAAGTCCATCACACAGGGAAGTCAGGTCAGGAACTGAGAGGCGGTAACCGACGCCGACGCCGACGCCGACGCCGACGCCGTAGAGGAGGGTTGTTTCTTGTGGCTTCCTCAGTTCGGGATGCTTTCTTCTGTGATCCAGGAGCACCCAGGGACAGCACTGCTCACAGTGGGATGGGCCCTCCCTCACCAATCATTAATCAAGAAAAGACGTCACTGACTTGCCTACAGGCCAATCTGATGGACGCATTTTCTCAATTAAGATCCCCTCCTTTAAAAGATATGTCTAAGTTTGTGTCAAGTTAACGGAAACCAAGCAGCTCAGGACCCCCAAGACTAAGGAAAGAGTACCCACAGATTCCACAGACTAGTACAGAAAGCTAATACATTAATATACCAGGGAGGAATATGAATTGTTTAGGAATGCCCATCCATGCCTTCTGATCTTTTTAATGTTCATAATAGACAGGCATATGCCCCCCCCCCCACCACAGTGACCTAGTTCTGCAATAATCTTGAAGAAAATACAGGTAAAATAGGCAAACAGAGATGGTTTTAGACTGAAGAAAACCCTGGACAAACTTTGCCATTAGAATACTATAGATTTGGTGGAATCATTTTAGCCATTCTTTGGTCGCTTTAACTTCCAGGGGGACGATACAATTCCAAAATGTCTCCTACGGAATCGAACCCGTGGAAGCCATGTCAGGATTTGTGCACGTGATCTATGAGAACACAAATAAGGGCACGCCTTTCTTAGCAGAGAACCAGACTTATGGGTGGTATAACAAATCGAAGGATCACTTCCAAATCAACTTGAAGGTGAGTGGGTCTCTCTTTCAACTCATTTAGTAAGATTCTGTGAAGTGAAAAAAAAAATGTGTTTGAAGTACACCCTAACATGGTTTTGCTTCCTAAGTAAGGGTCCTGTGTCATCTCTGGGCTAGAGGATTTACAGCCGAAATTTGACACAAGTTCCGTAAACGCTTAGCTACTTAATCTCAGGAACAAGATTTGAATGTAGAACTGAAAGGGACTGGACAGCTTCAATGTCTGTGCTTTTAGCTAATTAACAGAGAACATTCCCCAGTTATCCTGGTCCTCTAGAAAGTATTAACTCTTTTGTGACTACTCCAAAAGGGGAAAAGAAAAACCCCAGATAATTTCATAAGATAAAACAGAGTAATGAACTTCCCGTTAGCAGAGATCCATAAACTGGCATGGCAGCACCCCTGGCCCCAGTGAATGCAGTGAAACGCAGACTTTGGCAGGATTTCTCTGAAGTACAAGGCTAGCCAAAAGCAGCTTCCTCACCCTCGTTAGCAAAAATACCTCCCTGCATGGAACATTTGAAATTATCAGAAGCGTTAAGAAAAACAAGGCTTTTGTTATAAACCTAGAATTTTTTAAATTAAATTTTTATTTTTTTTATCTTAATTACAGTTTATTCACTTTGTATCCCAGCTGTAGCCCTCTCCCTCATTCCCTCCCAGCCCCACCCTCCCTTCCTCTTCTCCTCCATGCCCCTCTCCAAGTCCACTGATAGGTGGGGTCCTCTTCCCTTTCCATCTGACCCTAGCTTATCAGGTCTCATCAGGACTGGCTGCACTGTTTTCCTCTGTGGCCTGGCAAGGCTGCTCCCTCCTCAGGAGGTGGGGTCAAAGAGCTAGCCACTGAGTTCATGTAAGATACAGTCCCTGTTCCCCTTACTAGGGAACCCACTTGGATACTGAGCTGCCATGGGCTACATCTGAACAGGGGTTCTAGGATAAACCTAGAATTTTATTTCAAGTATTACAAAATAAAGGTCCCTGAGTTCTCATCCAGCTTGAGACATCTAACTGAAAGTTCTTGCTAACCACAGCACTTCTGTGCTGGGAAGTCCTCTGGTACCCAAGTTGTGTGCTCGAGAACAGCCTTATGACGTACAGTAGCAGACATCTTTCACCTTATTTATGAATATAATTTTAATAGAAGGTAACATCTGAAAACGTTTCTCAGGACTCATGTCACATGTTTTTCAGAAAACTGAATCCATCAAGTTATACCCACGAGTCATTGAGATGGATATTGTCGTGGATAAAAAACTGGTGTGTCCTATTCTTCGTATGTCTTTTTCATTTTTGACTGTTTCCCAGATGGCCACAGTGTGTTGTGACCATATCTGCCTTCATCAGCCTGTCTTATCCTCTCTCCACTTCTGTTGGCCACCTTCCTCTTCCTGAGGCAGCGGGCATGTCTCGCCTGACAGGTCCGTACGGTAGAACTCAAGAGTCCACAGCTGGGTAAGGACATTGAAGACTTTCCTCTCTTAGGAGCCTAAATGGCTCCTTCTGACACCGTGAAGTCTAGCTGGGAGTGCAGGAACTTCCAGTTCAGTTCCGGGCCGTGTCTTATATCCGAAGTACGTGGTCTTCTCAGCAGTAGAGTTTTAGTACCCATTTCTTATGGGCAGTTGAGACAAATGATGATCATCTGTATTGTTTTGGGGACCTTTGGCATCAGAGGTATCGAGCACTTACCACTGGAACTTCTGTTATGAAACCCATCACTCCTGGGAGCAGCAGCCCACACTAGCAAGTTTCCTCTGTTCACTCTCTCCTAAAATGATAATGTTTAGTTAGTTTACAAAATAGTAATTTTTGTATATGCCCTTAAAAGCATCCTTCGTTTGGGCTGCCTCTCTCCTCCTCCCTCCCATTCCTCTACCCATTTAAAATCTTTCTGTTCCTAGTATTCCTGCTGTCTGCTTTCATATCGTGTATGTTTTACTATCACTCCCTGCCCACAAGGCTTCTTTTGGGGTTTCCCCACCCATGGCTCCTCTCTTGTTTCCTGTCTTCTGTAGACATGAATGGCTGCAACCGATGAGCATTTCTGCCACTGATTTCTACCAGCCACTGTGGTGTTTTGTCTGGCTTCTTCAGCTACTGTGAACTGGTGTGCATTGCTGTTGATGGAGACAGGATGGATGGAGCCACCATGGCACCATCTTTCTCCTGGTCAACAGTGTATTAAGTGATGTTAAAATTCATATTACTGCATATTTTAAAGCAAACATTTACTTTGTCATTATCAGTTTTCTGGATTTCGATTAGAATGCAGTCTTATTGCTTATTCAGAGTATAGTACATTTGTATGTTTAAATGCATATGCTTGTTAATTTAGATTCATTTTTCAATAAAATTTTTTTTTTCAGTTTGATTACTTGGGCTCTGACACTAAAGTTGTGATACAGAAAATTCCTCAGGTCTTCGGCCTTGTTAACACTGTGAGTTTCCAAAAGCATGTTTGTTTATGTAATTTATAGAAATATAGCTGTGAATCAATGAATGTCATATTTTGCTGAGCTCTTGAAGACTCTCTGTAACCCAACATACCATGCTAACTATGGTTTTAAGTGATGTTCAAAATTGTATAAACAATCTCCTGTATCTCTTCTCTTTAGATGCTCTCAAAGTTAAAAGTGAGTGTTCTAATACAGTCCATTGAAATCTGGTCTAAGGAAAACAGAATTCCTCCCCGAGTGGCACCTCAGAACATACTGATTGAGTTTTTGTTTTGGAAAATAAATAAAAAATCACAACACATTTCATACTTACTGGCGTAAGCACATAATTCTATATCTACTAACATTGAAGGAATAACCCAAATGGCATATTAATTATGAAAGATACACATTTACCTTGCATGCAATGTTTTCCAATTTCTTAGGTATGATGAATGTGAAAAATGGAAGCTATGTTGTCTTTCTCATTTAGGACTAATGAGAGGCAAAATGTACTAAATAACACAAAGATGGGATGTGCTAGTAGCTGCCTGAAGCTACTGTTTTGGAGGTGGTGGCTCCATTTTGCCATCACAAGACAAAATCCTCAGTGAAAGTAGAAAATAAATCAGACAGCATTGGTTTACAAAAGCCTGTTACCTGTTATCAAATATATGCGATCCTGTTTTTTTGATCTAATCAATTAATCACCTACTTAATATTTTTGTTTTCTAATAAAGATGTGTTTACTGTCACTCATAGATGATTAACAAGGCCTCAGAATGGAAAGTTTAGGGATTTCTAGTTAAATAGATATTCAAAATTTTATATAAACATACAGAGTATGTGGACTCAGACTGAAAGCTAAAAGCTACCATTACTAGTGCAGTGGCATTTTCAATAGATGATTTAAGTATTGAATTGACGTATTGAAATCGTCTCAGTATTGAAGACTTGGGAAATGTGTTTAGCACAGCCCTGAGTAACATGGAGCTTAGAGCATAGCAAATGTTTGCTACTGTTTGATCCTATGGAAACGACTGACACTACGAACACTGCTTTTCCATCTACTCCTAATCATTCTGTAGCTTTGAGGAGCACCCTGCTTCCATTGGAGCGCTGTATCCGGGGCATTTGTGCACGCCGGAGCATGATGTCGCTGTCGCCCTGGTATGCAGTTGCTGTCTATTCCCACCCCCCTTTCCCCATGTTTCAAAAATTCCTAAATGTTTTTATAGAAAATAATTTATTTGTTTGTTTGTTTATCTCTCATATAATAATTCTGACTGTAGCCTCCCTCCCTCCATTCCTCCTTGTCCCCTTTTCTGCAGATCCACTCCCACCCTTCCACCTCTCCAATCCCCACTCTCATCCCTCCTTCTCCCCCTAGAAAAGAGCAGGGCCTCCAGGGACATCAGACGAACGCAGCACAAGTTACAGGAAGACTAGGCACATACTCTCACCTCAAGGCTGGGCAAGGGAACCCGTTATGAGGAAAGGACTTCCAAGAGCAGGAGTCACCACCAAAACACACATGCAGAGCACCTAGGGCAGACCCGTGTGGACTCCAGACTGCAGAGTCAGCCTCTACGAGCCCTGCTTAGTTGACTGTGTGGGCCATGCCCTCTTGGTGTCTCTGACCCTTCTGGCTTCTACAGTTCCTCTTCTCCCTTTTCTGCAGGGTTCCCCAAGCTCTGCAGGGAGGACCCCAATGGAGACTTTTAACCTAAGCTCTCTCTAGGAGGAGGAAATTTTTTTCTCATCTTTTTTTTTTTTTTAATATCTTTTCTGTTATAGTTAATTATCTCAACCTGAACTGTGTGCCACTGCTTTAAAAACATTGATGCTGTTTGCCTTGGTGGATTGTTTTTTTTTTTTTTTTTTTTTTGGTTTTCTCTGTGTAGCCCTGGCTGTCCTGGACTCACTTTGTAGACCAGGCTGGCCTTGAACTCACAGAGATCCTCCTGCCTCTGCCTCTTGAGTGCTGGGTTTACAGGTGTGCGCCTCCATGCCTAGCCCGCAGTATTTTCTAATTTCCCCAACACAGTTTCCGTTTTATATGAACGGCCCCTGTGTGTCTGAGCATGCCTTTACTTCGGCTGTTGCCTGGGGGCTCATTTCCTGGGACACTCTGGTTTACAAGCACTGGGGCTTTGTTTCTAAAGTCTCTTTTAGAGCCAGAATTCCTTGCTTCTGTCACTGGCTGTTGCTGCTGCTGCTGCTGCTGCTGCTGCTGCTTTTCTCTTTTAATTTCTTACTTCTCAGTGGGTTTTCTTTGTATCTTCTTTGGGTAAAGTTTTTGGAACAGTAATTTTTCCCTTAACTGAAGGAAAAGTTTAGCTGCTTTCCTTGTTTGTGTCCGAGTTTTTTTCAACAAGGGAATCCATTCTCTCTTTCTCAGATGTGGGAGGATGTGGCACCCGTCTATTCCTTTGCTCTCCCAATCTCTTTAGTCCTCTAATACTCGTCACAGACGGGGCTACCATGACTTTCCCTTTCGTGGTTTGACCTAAGGTCTTCATTTGGATCAGCGGGTGTCGTCATGGGGGAACTACAGGATCTTTGAGAGCTGTAGAATGTGAACTATGTGAACTATGTTCTGTTTTAGTCAATTTCTTTTGGGTTCTCCCTCTCTCTATTATTATTATTATTATTAATTTGCCTGTAAGTTTTAGCCATTGCACTCGGTATAACGGGACACAGTGGTCTGACTTTTACTTCCGCAATGAATGCCAGTGGCGGGGGCCCCACGCTGTTGGCCATTTGCATGCCTTAAAGAAGTGTCAGTTTGGATCTCAGCACGACCGCATTTTTGTCATGCATTAATTATTTTTCCATTAGATTATGAAAGTTCCCTACACACTGGAAATTAACACTTCAGCAGATAGATACTCTTCTTCTCACAGGTTTGATTTGCTGATTGATTCATTTGCTGTAAAAAAGTGATTTAGTGTAAGGGCTTTAATCTGACTTTTTTTTTTTTTTTTTTTTTACTCAGTTGTCTTAGCTTTTGGCATCTTGGTCAAGGAAAACTCACAAAGGCCACAGTCAAAAAACCTTCACACTCCCAATCCCAGGATGCTATTGTTAGTTCTGTAAATCATTTTATGTTGGCTTTTGTGGATGGTGACTGTCTTCAGTATTCACAATATACTTCATTGACAACACTGCTCTTTTTTTCACTGTGTTATCTTGCCATTTTTGGAAAAAAAAATCAACAACTTATGTGCTGGTTTCATGTGGGGACCTTTCGCTAAGTTCTGTTAGTCTATATGTTTGGTTTTCAATAAATACCATAAAGCTTTGAATTATAATTTGAATTAAATAAAGAAATGGTGGTGGTAGCAATCTTGTTCTTCATGCTTAAAAAGCTGGAGGTAGTGGGTCTTTTGTGATAGTGTACAAATTTTAGAATTCATTCTTACTCATGTGTAGAATATAATTGGGACCTTAAGAACCTGTATAACTTTAGATAAAGTGGATATTCTAACCATTTATGCTCTTCTTTTTTTATTTTTATTTTATTAATTACACTTTATTCATTTTGTATCCCCCCCATAAGCCCCTCCCTCCTCCCCTCCCGATCCCACCCTCCCTCCCCTTTCTGCATGCATGCCCCTCCAAAAGTCCACTGATAGGGGAGGTTCTCCTCTCCTTTCTGAGCTTAGTCTATCAGTTCTCATCAAAAGTGGCTGCATTGTCCTCTACTGTGGCCTGGTAAGGCTGCTCCCCCCTCAGGGGGAAGTGATCAACGAGCAGGCCAATCAGATTATGTCAGAGACAGTCCTTCTTCCCATTACTATGGAACCCACTTGGACACTGACCTGTCATGGGCTACATCTGTGCAGGGGTTCTAGATTATCTCCATGAATAGTCCTTGGTTGGAGTATGAGTCTCTGGGAAGTTCCCTGTGTTCAAATTTTCTTGTTCTGTTGCTCTCCTTGTGGAGACCCTGTCCTCTCCAGCTCTTACTATTTCCCACTTCTTACATAAAATTCCATTCACTCTGCCCGCCAGTTGGCCATCAGGCTCAGCATCTGCTTTGATAGTCTGCTGGGCAGAGGCTTTCAGAGGCCCTCTGTGGTAGGTTCCTAGGTTGTTTCCTGTTTTCTTCTTCTGGCTTTCAGAGGCCCTCTGTAGCAGGTTTCTAGGGTGTTTCCTGTTTTCTTCTTCTTCTGATGTCCATCCTCTTTGCCTTTCAGGTGGGGATTGAACATTTTAGATTTTAGTTAGGGTCCTCTCTCTTGCTTGGTTTCTTTAGATGCATAGATTTTAGTGGGTTTGTCCTATGTTGTATGTCTATATGAGTGAGTATATACCGTGTGTGTCTTTTTGCTTCTGGGACAACTCACTCAGGATGATCCTTTCTAGGTCCCACCATTTACCTGCAAATTTCATGATTTCCTTATTTTTCATTGCTGAGTAATATTCCATTGTATAGATGTACCACAATTTCTGCATCCATTCTTCAGTTGAGGGGCATCTGGGTTGTTTCCAGCTTCTGGCTATTACAAATAAAGCTGCTACAAACATGGTTGAGCAAATGTCCTTTTTGTATACTTGAGCCTCTTTTGGATCTATGCCTAGGAGTGGTATGGCTGGATCTTGGGGAAGCGCTATTCCTAGTTGTCTGAGAAAGCGCCAGATTGATTTCCAGAGTGGTTGTACAAGTTTACATTCCCACCAGCAGTGGAGAAGGGTTCCCCTTTCTCCACAACCTCTCCAGCATGTGTTGTCACTTGAGTTTTTGATCTTGGCCATTCTCATGGGTGTAAGGTGAAATCTCAGGGTTGTTTTGATTTGCATTTACCTAATGGCTAATGAGGTTGAGCATTTCTTTAAGTGCTTCTCTGCCATTCGATATTCCTCTATTGAGAATTCTCTGTTTAGCTCTGTTCCCCATTTTTTAAGGGGATTACTTGGTTTGCTGCTTTTCAGCTTGTTTAGTTCTTTATATATACTGGATATGAGTCCTCTGTCAGATAAAGGGTTGGTGAAGATTCTTTCCCAATCTGTAGGCAGTCGCTTTGTTTTGATGACGGTGTCCTTTGCTTTACAGAAGCTTTTCAGTTTCATGAGGTCCCATTTATTGATTGTTGCTCTTAGAGCCTGTGCTGTTGGTGTTCTGTTCAGGAAGTTTTCTCCTGTACCAATGAGTTCTAGGGTATTCCCCACTTTTTTTTCTAGCCGATTTAATGTGTCTGGTTTTATGTTGAGGTCTTTGATCCACTTGGACTTCAGTTTTGTGCAGGGTGATAAGTATGGATCTATTTACATTTTTCTACATGTAGACATCCAGTTGGACCAGCACCATTTGTTGAAGATGCTATCTTTTTTCCATTGTATGGTTTTGGCATCTTTGTCAAAGATCAGGTGTCCATAAGTGTGTGGGTTTATTTCTGGGTCCTCTGTTCGGTTCCATTGATCCACCATTCTGTTTCTATGCCAGTACCATGCAGTTTTTATAACTGTTGCTCTATAGTACAGCTTGAGATCAGGGATGGAGATACCTCCAGAAGATCTTTTATTGTAGAGGATTGTTTTAGCAATTTTGGGTTTCTTGTTATTCCATATGCAGTTGAGAATTTTTCTTTCCAGGTCTGTAAAGAATTGTGTTGGTAATTTGATGGGAATTGCATTGAATCTGTAGATTGCTTTTGGTAAGATGGCCATTTTTACTATGTTAATCCTGCCAAGCCATGAGCATGGGAGATCTTTCCATCTTCTCATATCTTCTTCTAATTTTTCTTCAGAGACTGGAAATTTTTTTCATACAAGTCTTTGACTTGCTTGGTTAGGGTTACACCAAGGTACTTTATGTCATTTATGGCTATTGTGAATGGTGTTGTTTCCCTAATTTCTTTCTCAGCCCTTTTGTCTTTTGTATACAGGAAGGCTACTGATTTTTTTGAGTTAATTTTGTATCCGGCCACTTTGCTGAAGGTGTTTATCAGCTGTAGGAGTTCCCTGGTGGAGTTTTTGGGGTCACTCATGTATACTATCATATCATCTGCAAATAGTGATACTTTGACTTCTTCCTTTCCAATTTGTATCCCCTTGATCTCCTTCAACTGTCTTATTGCTCTAGCAAGGACTTCCAGAACTATGTTGAAGAGATATGGAGAGAGTGGGCAGCCTTGTCTTGTCCCTGATTTCAATGGGATTGCTTT